TTTTAAAATATAATGTTTTCTATCTATAAAGGCTTTTGATGTTTTTGATGGACAATAATAATTTAATCTACTTTTAAGTGTATTTAATCTATTTTGTTTCTATTTTATCAAGTGTTTTTGTTTCAGATTATTTTGAAGGATTTTCATATTTAAAATAGCAACAAAGCTTTTTCCTAATGTTTAAGATTCACAGAAAATTAAAAGTGAGCATACAAGTGATTGCACAAAAACAACACAGAGACATAAATTTTTTACGTGGGGAGGGGGTGGAGCATACAAAAAGAGGCTAATTTTTGAGCTTATTGAAAAAAAAAACTAAAAAAAATAATGTTAAACTAAAAAAAATATTGTTAAACTAAAAAAAGTATTGTTGAACTAAAAATACGTCATTAACTCTTTAACATAGTGTAAAATCAATATATAGAAAAAAAAAAAAATTTAAGCTTCTTAAAATGAAAATTCATTTCCTATATCCTTTATTGTATTGACATTGTAAAATTACATCCTAAGATATTGCATTACAAATATTGTTATCCTATTGTATTTAATGGATAAATTAGTGTTAAACAAATTTGATTGACGGATTGATTAATGAATATAACAGATAAATGTTTAGTACTATTTGGTTTTACATATAATTACTTCTTTACTAGTAAAAGATATAATTATTTGATCTATGCTGACATCATAACAAAGTTTATTATCAGCCTTTTCATTGAATGAAAAGTTTTTTTTGATAAATTGATAAATTAGTTTTTTAACAATAACTTTTTACAAGTAAAAACAAAGGATTTTATTACTATTATAACAATAACAATAATAGTGATAACAAAACAATAGTATTGTTTTATTTAATAATAAAATTTTAGTCCAATTTGATTCTTTACAAAAAGGCAGTTGTTAAAGTATAGTAAATTTATAAAAATTGTTGTGTCCTTAATAATAATAAAGCAATTGGATTGTTTAATCTAACAATATGTTTTTAACTTCAACAAAAATTTTCAGATTAAAAAAATAAGTAACGATATCAATGATGAATAGCAAGACCTTTCCATGTAGTAAAACACAGAACACAGAACATCTAAACGAAGAAAGAAAATAAAATGCAAATCAAACTCAAAATATGAAAGTTATTTGATTCGTTTATTTACCTGTGCAAACTCAAGTAAAAAAAACTCAATCTATTGAAAAATACATTTTAAAAAATGTACAGAAGGATTCTAAAAAAAGTGAACAACGATTTGATAGATCACTTCTTGCTAGACCTCACAGCTGACAGATCTAACGCATACAAACAGTTAAACTAAACATGACTTGCAAACTTTGAACGCTCAAAGGAAAGAGGATATTATTGAATCTAAATTACTTTTTGAAACCAATTGAATATTCTAAGGTTTTATATAGCAGCATTTTGCTAAGTTTGTTGGCTTTTCGATAACAGAAATGACAAAAACTACGGTAGAAGCTGAAGCAAAGGTATAACAGATTTGCAGAGGTTTTCTTCAAAATATTAGAAAAGATTCTGAATAAATAAATCATAGTTCATCTGTATAAAGCACAAGCAACGAGAGCATAAAACGACTTTGAATAAAATAAATTTAAAAAATAATTAGGCAAGAAGAAAAATTTTCAAGGAAAGTGGTTGATTAAGTTAACTTATCTAGCTCGCAACGTATAGTCATTTAAAAACTATTGGTGAAATTTATTTTTGCTTTATTTTATCTGAAGCTCATAGTTTGATCTAATATTGAATGAACTAAATAAACTTAAACACAGCATAAAATATACGAGTCAGCAAAACATCATGAGTCAGCATAAAATATACGAGTCAGCAAAATATGTAAGTCAATAAAATATATGAGCCAGCATAAAATATATGAGTAAGTAAAACTAAAATTAAACTAACTACTGTACTATTTGCACATATTAACAGTCAAATTATTACTTAAATTAGGCCTACGTTGTTCTATTAATTCATTATGATAATAAGTAGTAATGGTGAGGCATCTGAGGTATTAATTATTGAAAGTTCTATTGTCTTTTTTGGACAGATCATCAATGTGCTACAGGATTATCTTAACAAATACTTGAACACCTTGAAAAGAAATGACTTTTTTAAAATACCGTGAACAGAGATACCATGGTGCCAGCGTTGTCTGATATGTGAATGAAGGCTTTAAAAAACGTATTGTTGGTGCATAACCATTTGTTGTATACGCTGAATATAACCTTAGTCTTGCTATAAATGATAAAGTGGATAATTTTTTTGTTCTACAAGATGTATTCAAATTTTTTGGGCTCAGTATTAACAGATAGGATATACTTATCATTATAACTAGAGAATCAAAAGTGACATTAAAGAAACTAAATTCAACTTGTGGGTTCAACTTATGGAAAATTTGAGTATTGCAACACAGCATATTGAAAATACATTGTAGTTACCATAGTTACACTTATCTATTAAAGTTAAATAAGCATCAGTTGCAATTGATAAGTGGGGTGTAAATAGGGTAGCCGACGTCGGATAATTTATTAAAATCGAATTACGGAAATATTTTGCATTTTCCTAATAAAACAGATTTTGAAAAATATTCCACAAAATATACACGTGCACAATTGATTTAAATCTTTTTTGGAACTTTTTTTTTGGCAATCCAGTTTTGTGTTTACACTATATTAATTACATTCGGTAAACTTTACTGCTATAGCTTATACGATTTTTTTTGTTCAACGCAATGGAACTTAAAATGCAATTAACAACATAAACACTGCAAGCATGATACTGCAGTGATATAAAAAAATAGTCCAAAGTTTACTTGAGAAGAACTATAAAGTTTTCTTTACTTATCCAGTGATAAAATTAAAGGGTTGAAGAAATAATTCAAGTGCAATTTAAAAATACTTAGAAACACCTTGTTCCGATTATAAAATCAAAGTGTTCCAATTTAAGAAACCAATAGCCTTGATTGAAATTAAATGGTGCTTTTGCAAAAACGAATTTATTTTCAATAACAATTAATTAATTTAAACTATAGTTAAAGCTCTGTTTTTATTTATTCTAAATTGTTCCAATCAAGGCTCAATTAATTTGGGCAACTCTTCCCTTAATAGATCTAATGTCTAAAAAGTCCTAAAAGATCTTCAAAGAGGAGGAGATGGTTTTTGGAAAAAAATTGTCCGAAAACGAACTGCAAGAACCAAAAACTTTAATAACGCAGTTCATTGTTGCAACATAATGCAAACCGCTCAATTGCAAAGCTTGTTAGAGAAGCCGGAACTTTAAGACGTTTTCAAAAGTTTAATAATCACAGTATACACGTGTTTTAGTTATTTTGAATGATTACTTATTTTTTATAAATTGCAGCTTCCAAAGCTCAGTTTTCTATTAAGTTTGTAAAATCTATCATTTTTGCTACTACATTTTCTACTGATAAAATTTTTAACGCATTAAGTCTATCTTGAGTTAAATAAATTTTAAACCCTATAAATGTTGTTGAAAAATTTATGCCCAAGTTTAGCTATGAGCCCCATAATAATTATTGGAAAATTTTGTTATAACTATTTTTTATTAAAAATGTCAGCAGTCCTAACTGCTTAATATTAAACATACACTTTTCTAAACTTTACTAAAAAGATCTTTACAGCTAATCAGTGGCGGATTAAGACTTCTTGGGGCCCTAGGCTATTTTTGTTTTTGGTGGGCCTTTTTATGGGCCAGAACCTAAAAATGACTTTAAAAAAAAAAAGTCGTTTAAAATTTAGGGGTTATACCCCCTCCTTGATCCGGGGTTATACCCCCCTCCTTGATCCGGTACTGCCACTAATATATCACAACTAATAATAACAACAAACTTTTCGCAAAACTTATGTATTTGAACCTGTCGCCAATTGAGACTTTTAATGCGGAAATTGTCTTGAAAGTTTTTTAAAATCGTTAAAAACTTATCCCATTGTATCTTCCACTAGAACTTAATTAACTTGAAAATGTACCACTATAAAATTTGTAATGGAAAATACAAGCCGACATTTTTCGTCTTAATTTAAAAATGAAATATACCCTGTGGGAAAAAAATAGGCTGATAACACAAGACCTGTTTAAAATAACTTAAACACGTATTACTACGTCTTAAACGCGTCTTATATCAAAAGGTAGCGACTATTCGCTATCTAGTTGCTAGCTCATTCGTTATTGCTTTAAGAAACCAAAAAAAAAAATATTTTTAGAGTTTTCCAAACATCTCCTATTTTATTTAAAATGATTTAGAGTTCAAGTGAGTTAGTTAACTTTAAGAGTCAGTGAAACTGATAAAAACGAAACATATAGTTTATCGTAATCATTTTAAAATCAAAAAATGATCCATCGCAATATCAGTCTACTTGCATTAATATCATTCAGAGCCATCTTAAAACATTCAATTATTGAAGGACCTTTTAACACTGAAATTTTTTTAGAATTTCTCAAGCAATGCTATGAAGCGAAATTGTTTGATTATAAAATTCTTATCATAGACAACGTAAAATATAATAAATCGGGACTGATAATTCAAATTTTCAGGGATAAGAATATTAGATACGAATATCTGCCCCCATATTCTCCCCAGTTAAATCCTATAGAAGAAGTATTTTCATGTTTAAAGAACAGATACTACAAATTTCGTCCATATTATTATAACTAAAAAAGGTATTTTATGAATTATATATAATTGTAAACAACCCGCTATATAATATTATTAAACTGACTTATAATTTTTAAAAAGCTGCTATTTAATATCTAATAAACTGATATATAATTATTAATAAACTGATATATAACAATTAATAAATCGCTATATAATTATTAATAATCTTGTAAAATTAAAAGTGGCTCCATCAGTCATATCAATCATATTTTAAAAACGTTTAAGTGTAGGTTTTCAGTTTTCAATTATTTTCTAGTTATATTTCTTTACATATATTTGATTATAATTTTATTTTTAATTTTATGTTATTGTTTATTATAGATTAGTTCGAATTCTTGCTGGCCTTGAAAAAGGAATCCGTAAAGCAATTCGTAATGAACAAATTACTTCTGATATTTTTGATGAAACGTGTACAAAGAAACCGAATAAACTTGCTGTTATTTCATCTGATGGACTTATAAAATATTCTTTTTCCGAATTAAGAGACTTAGTAAACAAAATTGGAAATATATTTTACAATAGTGGGTATAGAAAAGGAGATGTTGTTGCATTATTTATGGAAAATAGACCCGAGTATGTAGCTTTTTGGTTAGGACTTTCAAAAATCGGTGTTATAACATCTCTGATAAACTTTAATTTGACTAATGATAGTTTGCTGCATTGTATAACAGTTTGTGAAGCTAAGGCAATTATATATAGTAGTGAAACAGAAGGTAAATAAATAATTTAAATTGAATTAAGTTATATGTTATGTTACTTTGAACAGTTTCTTTTTTTTTTTTTACATATGAGAATGCAATGTAAAACTTTAATAAGGTTTATTTATCTACTGTATTCAAAAATATAAAAAGTGGGATATTGGTTTCTTTAGATATGTCAAATATGGACACAGTTCACCCTAAATATATAAAAGTAGGATACTGGTCATCTCAGATATATAGGTTATGTGCTAGAATTGTTCCAGTAAAAATAGATTAAATTTTTAACTATGACATAAATTAAATGCAGAAGTTTTAATGTAAATTAAATTTTGAAAACTTTGAAATTTTAAATCTCAGCATAGTAAAGTAACATTAGTATAAGTATTTAACTGTAATTTACACAATATCTAATATGGCAAATTAATAGACTCTCTGATGATTTAACTCATTTGAGTTTGAGGCCAAAGGTGGAGCTTACACAAAAACACTCTCAAACTCAATTTTAACTAGTTTAGAGAGCTATTCCCTCTAAATATATAGGTTGAGAGTTACCCTCTAACTTGTCTAACTTCCCCTAAATTTATCACTGCAACAACAACATGTCTTAATAATAATAAAAATAAAAATAAAATATAATTAAATGTTTTATATCGAAAGAATTATTGATAATGAATCTGCCAATCAATTTGTTAAATAGTAATGCTTATAATCTTTTTTAGCAAATTGTCTTCTGTTATGATTAATGAACATGTTGCAGAGTTTCAAGGGTTCTTAAAATTGTTAAATTTGATATTTTAAAACCCTAAGTCACTTTTTTTTTCCTTCCTTTTAATTTGCATTGGTAAAAATATTTTTTTCTTTTTTAATAATTGATGTCTCTAAGTGTTTTTTTTTTAGTTGTGTTATTGTTTTTATAATTGTGTAAACCATTTTATTTATGAACACACAATGTGTTGTTCATCCAATATGGACTCTATACTGTTGGTTAAATATTGTTAGATTTGTGTTAAAACAGCAACAATGTGTACAATGTGGCAACATCAAGTGATTAAAATTCATGTTTCAATAAATCTAGTATCAGATTAGGTTTTTTTTTTCTGCAGTATTATTGAGGATTCACTTCTACAATAAACTTTTCTCTTTTACACTTAATTGAACAACTGAACCAAAATTTTCAAATATTTTTAAAGAGTGTTGTTGCTATTGTCATTTGAAATTACTTATATTATTTTTGAGTTGTCTGCAAATAGTTCTAATTTATTTATTATTTTTATTTTTAATCACACTATCACAAATAGAATTGCATCTAGAATTAAATATCTTAAAACTTGTGACTTCCTCATTGTATAAAGCAAACTTTGGACAATCCTCAATTTAAATAACTGCTTATCATAAGTAAAATGATAATAATAGTTAATTATAAATGATAAGGAGTTCTTTAAATAATTCTAAAAATATAAGAGCTAAAGTCATAACCAAAATGCAACATCATTTTAATAATGAAACCAAATTAAAAGCTGGCACAAAGTCCAACAATATAAATATTATTACCAAATTAAATTGCTCTAATAATGAAATCTAAAATTAAATTTTAAGTCAATTAGTTTATTAGAGCATTTTCTGTGATTACTATCAACATTAATGATACTGGTGATACTATCAATATTAATGATACTGGTTAATAACTTGAAAGATCTTACAATTGACTTATTTTTGCAATGAACCATTTGTTTTATATAGATATGAATTTTTAAAGATCAGTGATATCAACAAGAAAGTGACTTTGAACTCTCTTTAAAAGCACAAGATTTTTTTTACACAAAAATCTTTTACGTTTTGAAAGAAAACTTTTTTGAAAGATTTTAAAAAATAAATTTTGAAAAATGAATTTTTTTTTTAAGTTAGTTTTTTTTTTAACTTTAAAATTTTTTTGAAAGCTTTTAATAAAATTAGATGAATTATATAAACAGGTAATTTTAAACTAAGGTACTTTAACTAAGTCAGGTAATAAAATTATTTTCATGGATGTGTCATTTTTATATTTTTACTTTTTATCTTTTTAATTTTTGTTTTTGAAAAATTTTAAACTTTTTATCAAACTGGTTTTAAATTTCGATACAATTGGTTGAATTTATTTAGCATTGATATGATTGGTTGAATTTATTTAGCATTGATACGATTAATTAAATTTATTAAAACAATAATGTTCTATTTCCTATTATTCTCTTATAATACACAAGCCTTATCTATACTACCTTTTTTGTAATTTCTCTTTTATTATACAAACTTTATCATTAATAGTTTTATTTCTTTTATTATTTTTTTTCTCTTTTTATTTAGTAATTTACTTATTATTTAAGTTTTAATCGTTTTTATGCCCCCCACCTACTTTAGTGATTCATTTTTCATGCTGTTGCCATGTAGACATGTGATCTATTTTTGGTACCATCTTTTTCTCTTGGTTTTTAGTCTCCTGTTTGTTATTTTAACCTCTTAATAGTAATAGTACAGTAATTATTTTTTGTTTTTAATTTATTATCTGTGCTTTTTATACTTGAAAATTTTTATAGAAAGGTTAAAGTTTGGATTAATTGCTTAAAAGGTTATTATACAGAGCTTTATTAGTAAATATTGATAACTTTTTTGTTGTTGTTGTTGTTAAAGCAATTAAATTTTATTTATATTAAAAAAATATATATATTAATTATTTTTTTTACCAAATTTAAATAGTAAACATTTTTATACAAATTTAAATAGTAAACATTTAAAGATAGTTAAAATATTATTTTTTTACCAAATTTAAATAGTAAACATTTTTATACAAATTTAAATAGTAAACATTTAAAGATAGTTAAAATATTATTTTTATGACTTTTTCAGATGCACTTGAGGTTTTGCATGATCAATTAAAAAATCTTGTTTACTTCTGTTTTGGATCAAAAAAGAAAATACTTAAATCTATTGACTTAATGAAACTTATTGAATCCACTGTTACGACTCATCCCCCACGCCCTGATGGTATTTCCTTATATGGTAATGTAATATTTTTATAAAATTTAAATTAGTTTTTTTTTATCTATATTATTATTTTAATTCGAATAAATATTAAATAATAAATTTCAGTTTGAGTACTCAGTAATCAAGACAAGTTCCAGAAACAAACAAATATGTTTGTTTCTGGAACATGTCTGAGCTAGCTTTTAGAACCAGAAGATAATATAAATTCTATGTATAGATGTTAAATCTATCATTGGTAATTTGAAGTATGGCTGGGTTAACTAGATATGGTTCAGAGATAGAATTTTTTACGTTGGTTTCAAGTAATTCTCTACTTTACTGGAACATGAAATACTTTACTTCGATAACTATTGGTATGTGTGTGTAAAACAAATGAAATGATAAAAAGAAACCACATGTTTCACAACACAAGTTTCTCTGTCTTGACAGGTCTGGATACCTCTTTTACCAATGAAACAAATGATAGTCCCATAGAAGGAATCCTACTTTTTATTTTACTCTATTTGTGAAAAAAAGTGTGCTTTTGTGTGGGGTAATTTGAATTGTAACATAAATTTTAAATGTTTTTAACCATGATATTAGTTTTGTTTGTTAACTTTAACTTTAAAGTCATTATAAACTTACATCTTTATTGAATGTGACCTTCAATTTGCAGTTTTTGTTCTGTTACAAGTTTTGAGGTAGTTTTGAGTTGCTATCTGGCAATCTGGATATCCATATATTTATATATATTTAGTGGAATATATATATATATATATATATATATATATATATATATATATATATATATATATATATATATATATATATATATATATATATATATATATATGTATATATATATATATATATATATATATATATATATATATATATATATATATATATATATATATATATATATATATATATATATATATAATTATATTATTATATGACGTTTCTACTGCAAAAAATAAAAATATATGCAAGGAACATAATAAACCTTTTTTTTTTGATAATGTGTACATTTGGTCATGTACTACTATATGAAAAATTTACAGTAAATTTTATGCTATAGTTGCATCGCTATGTTAAAATAAAGTCGTTGTGACAGCTACAAAAACAGAAACAGAACTTGTTGAGTAATTTTGTTTTTTTGTAGAAAATTTTCAATAAATTAAAAATGTAATCTTTTGAATTATTTTTTATATTTATTAGTAATATAATATATTAATAATATGATGAACCCAATATAAGGACAATTAGTTGACTAAATACTTTTTTACTACCGCATTTAAAATTTAAGTTCTTCCAATTTTTAAATTTTTTAGAATAATCTTTTAGAACTGTTAGAGAAAGTTTTAAATTCAAAGATTCAAGATTCAAAAATCATCTTTTAAAAACACTTTCTTTACAATATATATAATTAATAATAATTAATATAATATATTAATAATATATATAATTAAGATTTATAGGAATATATTTATTTCTATAAATGTTCATGTTTTACTTAAAATGGTTGCTAGCAAAAAGTTGCGGTCGTGACATTGCGGGTGTGACAAAATATTATACTATCAAATAACATTACATTTTAGGTATTTTTGAGCAATTTTAGCAAAAGTTTTTAAAAATTTGAACAATATTTATAGTTATCCTTTCTTTACCATAAACAGATCTTTACCAACAGTGCAGCAAACAACAAGCAGCAACAGTGAAGATTGTTATTTGAGATTGATTCCAATAAGCACTTTGAACTTGTTCTTGATGAGTACAGCAATAGTTTTGGCTAAAACCAAAGTGTAATTAATAGTTTAATAATTCACTATCCTTTATATTATCTATTTGGTGGCAATAAACAGACGCTTGGTGACAAAATTTGGAAAATTTTATCTTGTTACCAAATTCTTCAGTGTACAGAGCATAACATTCCCTTAATATAAGTAACAAATAACATTTTTTATAAAGTCTTTCATACCTGGAGTTAATCGAGATATTTCTTTGCAGTTGTAAAACTCTAGTACATGATTAAATACATTAGAAGATAAACTGATGCGCTTTTTTATCTTTGATATATCTGGTAAAGAGATGTTCATTTTTATTGCTGTTTAATGACATAATCTGATTTTCGTGGCAACTTTGGTAAAGCCAATTTAACGTGGTTCACAGCACGCGCTTCTGACGAACTTCAATGAAAACAGTATTCTCAACAACATGACTGCAATAAATTTTTGGAAACATCACTTTTTAAAAAAAAACCTTTAAAATTTTCACTTTGAGGCACTTTTAAAAAAGTCAAGATTGACACTTTGGTTAAAAAAAATTTAGAAAACTAATACAATTACAAGCAGCCTTGAATACCTAAATTATGTGTTTTTCTCATTCAAATGAGTTTTTAATGTTTTTAACTAAGTTTCAGTAGTATTTGAATAAAGCTGGCTGGGGAAAAGACTTCACATGTCTTAAGGTTTTCTCAATATGAGAATGTATGTGTTCTATCTCCTGTACACAGGAAATTCATTATAGTAAATGTCATTTTTGTTTTGTGGAATGTCACACGATGTGGTAATAGTAATTACTGTAGGAGTCTCCTTTACAATATTTTCCAGAATGCAGTTCATTCCAAACAACATGTTTTGCTTTTTGTTTTTTTTTTGCTTTGAATTTGCTTCATCAGCTGTAAGGTTTATACACATTTAATTTTTTTCTTTCAAATATTCACTTTCAAAAGAGATATTAATTTTGATCCAATACAGTTGACAAGTATTTATTTTTTGTTGAGTTTATATAGTGACTTTCTGTAACAGGAAATCTTTAAATGATCTAAAAATTACTTTAACATTTTGACATTTGTTATTTTTTCAATATGTTGTCCAATTTTTAACTACTATTGGCATCAAAGTGATAGACTTCTTCTTAAAACCTTTTGAAATAAAATTACTTAGTTGAAACTAACTAATAATATTTATGCTCATTTTTAGATGTGTATATAAACGTCCAAATGAGCACACACACACACACACACACACACACACACACACACACACACACACACACACACACACCCATACACACACACACACACACACATATATATATATATATATATATATATAATTTTTGATTTAATTTTAGACAAACTTATTTACATGTATACCTCTGGAACAACTGGATTACCCAAACCTGCTGTTATACGACATACTAGGTAAGTTGATGATGATGATGATGATGATGATGATGATGATGATGATGATGATGATGATGATGATGATGATGATGATGATGATGATGATGATGGTATAATGATGATAATGATGATGAAGACGAGGAGGAGGAGGTATAAAGATAAAATCCTGCTTTATAGCTTTATGCTTAACTAGATAGTGACCTTGATCCTCATTTATCAAAGTTTATGTTTAAGAGGTGTTGAAATTGTTAAAAGAGAGTGGTAACAAAGCATTATATATTTTTAATTAATAGTTACTTAAATTAAAAATAAAAAATAAAAAAAATTGTTAATAAAAAAAGTTGTAAGATGATCGATTTTTAACCAAACTAGCAATTTTGCAGCTTATGTAGCATGCATGTATATCATATGTATATTATTTAGCTCTTATGTTGTATATGTCCTATATTTATTATATATATCTTTATGTATGTCTTTTGTATATTATGTATATCTTATGTTGCAAGAAAGTATATTTGATGTTAATCTAATTTTGTTTTAAAAGAATCACTTAGCAACTGATGTTTTTTTATTTTCAAAATAAAAATTAACTTAAAATAAACTTTTTGAAAGTATTAAAAATCTGAATTTTGTAATGATATATGAAATTTCAAAGCCAATTAATCAAAATGCTAATTAGTTAGTCTAACGATTAGGCAAAATCAATATATTGTTGTTGAATTTTTTTTTTGCTTTAGTAGGAATTTGTTTATAAGTTTTAGTAATAAATTTCTAAAATGTCAAAAAATTGAGATTACAATAGCCATAGGTAAGCAAGATCATTTTGTTAAGTTTAAGTTTAAGTTTCGGTATAGGCAAGTCAAAAATTATCTTAGTAAGTAGTTAATCTCTTATTTTATTTTTGCATCATTTATATTCAAGTAAAGTTGCTTAACTGACCAGTAAATTCTAGAATTGCATATACACAAACCTAACAACTTTATTTTTTTCATGCTTATGAAAGTGTTAAGCTTTAAATGCATTAAAGTTTTTCTTTGATGTGATTGGTTGAAGTTGGATTCTGTTGATGTAATAAATCTGCAGATGTAAAAATATTATTTTGTGAGAATTAAGCAATATAAGGAATTTTCTTCAAAGTTTATTTTTTTTTAACTAGGAACAAGTTGGATGAAATAATAAATGGTACAGAATGACACAAGATATTTTTTCTGACATTTATGAAAATGTATTGAATTTCTGGATTAGTTACAGTTTAATTTGAAAAAATATTTATCCTTTTTTTGGAGCCAGGATTGTCAATTGTTATTATTTTGCCTGGGATTTTATTCTCCCTTTTTTTAGTTTCTCCTTAATTTCTGTTCCTTTATTTCATTTGTTCTGTTTTATATTAATAGAGATTTTTTAAAACTTATGCAACTATGCCCATAGCCCCAGTTTTGTTTAAATTAAACATAGTTCAGGTAAAATATCAACTATTTGTTGTTGGCATAAATTTTTAATAAATAACAACTATTTGTCAATTACTTGAGTGTTGGTAAATAAGACTTGGTGCTTTTGAATAGTCTGTTAATGAGATAAATGATTGAATAGAGCATGATTATACAATTGCATCCAAATGCATAATATTTGGATGCAATTGTATTCTTGATTGTGACCTAGATCGCTAAGTTTTGTTAAATCACTAATTTTTTTCAGGAATTTCTTGCAAAAAATTTTTTTTAAATAAAAGATTTTTTTTTTAACCTTACCTATTTAGTAAAAAAAAGCAAAGAAAATTGTGTGATGAGTTGAGTGATTAATAAAATAGTAAAAACATTGTCAAATATATATATATATATATATATATATATATATATATATATATATATATATATATATATATATATATATATATATATATATATATATATATATATATATATATATACATATATATATAAATATAAATATATATAAATATATATATATATATATATATATATATATATATATATATATATATATATATATACTTGTTTCTCCGCACAGCAGCCTTGTTTGTCAAGGTTTGTGTTTCGGAGTTATAGAGTTGAGAGAGGGTTATATCTACAAGTAACCTCCTAATGACAAAATTTTTACAAATTCTATCAAATATATTAAAAAAATATTTTAAAAATATGTATTATCTTAATTTTTAAAGTAAGTATATCTAATATATTTATATGCACGTGTATGTATGTATCTAATATATTTATATGCACATCTATGTAATATATATGAAGTATATAATATATTATAAAATATATAAAATAATATGAAAAAAGTTTTGTCACATTAACTAAAATAATTGAAAAATATTTGTCTGATGAGTTTCTCTAAAGTTCTTCTGTTAGTGAAGTACAGCAATAAATTATAATCAATTATAATTTTGAATTAAAAAATTTAATGAATCATTATTAGCTATAAATGATAAATAAATCCATAAATGATATTCAAAAAAATATTTAAAAAAACACTGTTAAGCTATAAAAAAAACATGAATTATACAAAAAAACATGTTTTAGTATCATACAAAAAGAATTTAATAAAACAATATATATATTTTTTTTATTAAAATTATAAATAAAAATATGGTTATTGTAAGTAATATTTATTACTTACAATAATACTGTTGAATTTTAAGTTGAATTTTCCTAAGGAAGTTCTCTTCTTTATCTGAAAGTTTCTAAATTGTCAATTTCTGGAGATATGTAGGATTAAAAGGTAGGTAACCAGCCTTGGTTACCTTGGTTACCTTTCCTTGTTTGAACTTCTTGTTTCATCAGCCTCTCTGAGAACTCATCATCTCTCAAAGAGGCTGATTCCATCAAGTATCAGAGTACTAACAGTGCCATGTTGCGCATAGATGTTGTCCCTGTTTGTACTTTTGATGTGCATTGTTCTTATTTCTTGCAAAGTTCACTAGACCTACTTGCTCTTTGCTACTTGCTACTTTGCTACTTGCTACTTGCTCTTTGTGAGACTTATTTTAGTTTAGCTGTCTAATCTTGTGATCTCGTTGTTGATAGTTATTTTCTTTAATTTGAAACGAGATTAATAGTTACATGCTTGGCGTGTGCATTTATATTAGATTTACTCATTTGTTGGGAAACTAGGTTTGAATCCACAGACTATTCTTTTATGTGCTTTTGTTTAGCAACACTTCACCAAATCACTTTTCTTTTTGTTCTATATTGTTTTCCTTCATCTCAAGACTGCACTCTTTTAAATTGGCCATGCCTTTTCTCTTTATTTTGCAACCATTATCATTGTTATTAGTGACTTTAATACTTATTGCACTGAATGGCTTGGCTCTAGTGTAAGTGACTCTGCAGGTGTTAATACCCACAAATTTTACTTTCTCAATCTCTAAAACAAATAGTCAATTTTCCAACTCCAGACATTCCCAATCATTAAACTCCTCTACTCGACTTATGTCTCGTCTACTCAACTTATGTTTTGTTTCTGATCCTAGTAGGTGTTCAGTCTCTCCACAGGTCATGGTTTCTCCTTCTGATCATGGTTTGATCTCTTAAAAATCTCATTCTTCTTCATCAAAGCTGACTGAGACACTTATTGTGAATTTCTTAGTGATGGCCCTTGTTTAGAAATCTGTCTTCCTGCTGACAAATATCCTCCTTATTTAACTTTTTGGATTCAGGCTGACATGGATTTTTTTATTCCTTTTCGACAATTCCAAGTCAAACTGCACTGTTCTCTATGGTATATATATCTCTATTGTACTGCTGCAATTACCAATTGTAACCATAACTTCCATATCTATCGCCAAAACAATTCTCCAGGTGTCTGTTTACTATTGCTAGAAAAAGCAGGCGTCTGTTTACTATTGCTAGAAACCATTGCAAAAAGGTTTTGTCTAATGTTTAAGCCAATATTTTTAACAGGTCACAAAATCTCGAAAATTAGGCCCCTGAGACATCTGGAGAATCTTTAACAGTGTCTATAATAAGAGCAAATTAGTTCCCACATCTTATGCATGTTCAGATTTTGTTACCTCACCTAAAAAAAAAAAAACTGAATTGTTTGCTAAGAACTTTTCATGAATCTCATTTCTTGATGCTACTAATCACATATTACCTGATATAGACAACAAACGGGTTTGTCTATTGCTTGACATTCTTATCTTGAATTACCCAAAGTTGGACCTGCCTTCCACTTCTAGGTAAAAGTCATTCTTGTGTTACTCCTTATTCAATTAAGTCTCATAAAATTACTGTGACAGTTCTTAAGTGCTCTAAAAATACTTATTTGTGTCATTTGTATTACTCCTGCTTTTGTTGCAGGAAGAACTTTTTATAGTCTAGCAGAAGTGTTTTCTGCAGTCTTGTTTTCCAGCCTGCTTTAAAGCAGCATTTGTTATCACTATTTTTTAAAATTTCTGGAGAACAATATGATTTGTCTTAGTTTAAATCTTCAAAGAGAGCTTAAGGTCTTTTCCTTAAGCTCTCTTTGTATGGTGTATCAGATAACATCTTTGAGGTTAATGAATCTTTCCTTACCATTCGTAGTATAAAATTCCTTCAATTTCCTTGATGGACAGTACTCTTCTTCTTTTCCAGTATCTCCAGTTGTTTCTCAAGGTTCTTTTCTTGTCGCTATGCTTTTTCTGATTTACATCTATAATCTTCTTGAAATTTTGAAATCTAAGGTAGCTTTTTTTGCCCTACCCTTGAATATAATACTGTTGCCATATCTGGTGCGGATCTTCCAATGATGCTCATTCTATTTTAGACAAGGTGCAAAAAGGCATAGTAAACATAGTTGGACCTGCTCTTGCAGCCACTCTCCAACCATTATCACATCATCATAATCTTTTCTTTTTCTTTTTAGTAAATACTATAACAGACTGCTCTATGGAGCAAGTGTCTCTTATGCCATCTACTAATATTCATTCTTGTGTTACTTGTTGTTTAATTAAGTCCTTTGACTGTAACTGTTTCTAAGTGTTCCAAAATTTTTTATTTTTCTAGTTTTTTTCC